GAGCAGAACCGTCATGTCTTTTTATTAATATTTCTTATGTTATACATAAATAGTAACTGAGCCAATAAGGCTGTCTGTTCAAATTATTGGCAGTAGTGCAGCTGAAATCAAGTATCACACTTAAGTAGTAGGCAATAAATAGCGTCCTTTACTACATGATTGAAGAATATACAATCAAGTCTCTAAATTTGGGTAGGGTTTGGTTGTGGCAGTATAGCTAGCTCTGACATTTATATGCAGCTGTCACATGAAATATTTAATATGCTTGCTCTTGTCTAAAACTTTGTAAAACAGAGTTCTCATTTTGCTGTATGGACAACTTACACTGAGATAAAGGAGGAAATTTTACAAATGCATCCATCAGAAAATCTGTCTGAGCTCTGCATTCATGAGTGGAAAAATAATGAATCTCCTTTCAATATGGGACAGTGAGTAAGGTGTAATTTTCTTACATACTTGGCAAAGATGATTAGGCAAACTGCAGGCATTTTAGCATGCAGTTAAAGAAAAAACCCAAACCAAACACAACTGTTTCTATTTTCCATTAGATAAAGTAGGGGAATGCATCTTCCAGGAACTCACTGTTGATGTTAGGTACTCTGTAATAAATAACTTTTTTTTTTTTTAATATATGTATTACGAGTGTTTGTGGTTACGTTACTGAGAGGGTTTTTATCAGAATTCTAGGTATTTGGTACACATGAATTCTAACACCATAGAGAAGCACGCATATCTGACTCAGGAAAAAACTGAGTAGAAACTGTATTACAGAATAACTACATTTTGATACTGTGACTAGCCCTGACACTGATCTGCTCGGTTAGTCAAATGTGGTGAATTTTTAACAGAGCACTTCACAAAGTTATGGAAAATAAATGCTGTAGTAATATTTCTTAGTATCTCCTAAATTGCTGTTGAATGCAGGGGTATATACGTTCTTCAAATTGTTTGAGTAAAAATATTAACCCAAAGCAAATTATAATAATGTCATTAATAAAGCTAATCTTGAAACTTTTGTCACCTATTTGTGCTTAAGTGCATAATTAGGTATTTACAGATTAAGTGTTAATTTGGTTTATAAATGTTTCAGGTGTCACAATAACAAATGATTTTTGCACTATTGTCTCTGTTTTCTGTTTGTATTAATATACTGATACTGAACTTCCATGGGAGCTCAGAGTCTGAGAACTATTGCTACTCTATAAAGAAACTTGCAGGTTTATAAAAAATAGGTCTTTTACTTGGAGGTTAGCTAAAGATGGCATTAAGCAATCATAGATTGATGTTAACAGGCCTACTTTATTCCTTAGCTGCTCAATTCTGCAGCACACTAGCTCCTGTTGGTGCTAACACTCATTCTACTCTGTGTTGGAGGAAGGGAAGTCTAGCCACATCAGTAGCAGTGCTGGGGAGGAGGTGGGACAACTTTTGGCAGCCAGTCTTAAATTGGCTTGAGCCTGTCATGAAGCTAGGTATTTGGTTTAATAGGAGGAATATACCAAAGACATCACTGTGCAGTAGTCAAAGTATAGAAATATTCTGTTATATTGATATCAAACAATATTTTAAGTTGGAAGAAATTTCCAGATGCCATCTAGCTCAACCCTTGGCTCAAAGCCACACTAACATCAAAATAGAGAAGGTTGCTCAGAGCCTTGTCCAGTTGAATCTTGAAGATCTCCAAGGCTGAGTTTCTACTTCCTCTATGCACAATTGGTTCCAGTGCTTAACTTCTAACATAGGGATAGGTTCCCTGTTCCCCCCTTATATCTCTGTGAAACTGGCTGTGCTGCAACTTCTTGATTGCCTCACATCTTTTTGTTGTGTACCTCTGAGAAGTGTGCTTCTGTCTTCAGCTGTCTTAAGTGGGTTTTATGGAGAGGACAGCAATTAGAGACACACCCCATCTCACCCTGCCTCCCCCTCATGCCCCGGTAGTCTTTCCAGGATTAAAAAGCCCAGTTCCATGTAGCTTGTCCTTGTATGCCATGTGCACCAGCCCCCTAATCAACTAAGTAACATACTGTTTTTTGTCTAGTTTATCAGTATCTCATTTATTGGGCGCTGAGGTGGGGAGCAGCACACAGTGCTTGGATACAGCATCATGAATGCTGACTGCTGGGGAATAACAGCTTCTTTTGACTTGACTGCAGTTTTGCCAGTGCAGCAGTGGTAGCTGTTGGCCGGGGTCAACCCAAACACCCACACAGCTGCTTGATCACTGTCCTCTCCCTCGGGATAAGGAGAAAATAGAAGTAAGAAAGAAGACTCATGGATCAAGATAATGACATTTTAATAGGGAAAGCAAAAGCTTGCACACACAGGCAAAGCAAAAAGAAGAATTAATTCCCTGCTTCCCATTGGGAGGCAGATGTTTGGCCACTTCCTGGAAAGCAGGGCCTCAGCATGCATAATGGTTGCATGGGAAGAATCATGGAATCATTTAGGTTGGAAAAGACCTTTAAGACCATCAAGTCCAACCATTAACCTAGCACTTAAACCATGTCCCTAAGCACCACATCTACACCTCTTTTAAATACCTTCAGGGATGGTATTTAAAACCACTTCCCTGGGCAGCCTGTTCCAGTGCTTGACAACCCTTTTGGTGAAGAAATCTTTCCTAATATCCAATATAAACCTCCCCTGGTGCAACTTGAGGCCATTTCCTCTTGTCCCATCACTTGTTACTTGGGAGAAGAGACCAACACCCACCTCACTGCAACCTCCTTTCAGGTAGTTGTAGAGAGCGATAAGGTCTCTCCTCAGCCTCCTCTTCTCCAGACTAAACAACCCCAGTTCCCTCAGCCGCTCCTCATAAGACCTGTGCTCCAGACCCTTCACCATAACCACCCTCCCAAAGGTTAACAAACACCATAACCACAAATGTCCACCCTTTCTCCTTTCCCTGAGCTTTTACTGCTGAGCATGGCATCGTGTGGTATGGAATATCATTTTTGGTCCACTTGGGTCAGTTGTCCTGTCTATGTCTCTTCTCAATGTCTTGTCCACCCCAAGCCTTCTTGCTAGGCCTGGGGACAGGGTGGAAAAGAAGAAAAAGCCTTGATGCAGTGCATGTACTTTTCAGCAACAGCAAAAACACTGCTGTGTTGTCAACACTGGTTTAGCCACAGATCCAAAGCACAGCACCGCACCATATGAGCTGCTGTGAAGAAAGTTAGCTTCATCCCAGCCAGACTCAGTGCAGCAGCCCAGTATATGGTTGACCTTCATTGCCACAAGGTCCCACTACTCACGCCTCAGGTTGTTGATCTCCACAGTTGTTTTCCGCAAGGTTGATCCCTAACCCATTAGTCCTAGGTCTGTATTGTTGCATGGGTTATTCTGTGCTGCTTGCAGGACTTCACATTTGTCTCTGTTTACTGTCATGAGATTCCTGTCAGATCAGTCCTCTAGCTTGTTGAGGACCCTCTGAATAGCACCTCTGTTCTCCAACACTGTGACTACTTCCTGGCCTCCCAGGCTGATGCTGCCTGCAGACCTGATGCGAGTGCATTCCATCCTGTCTTTCAGGTCATTGATGAAGATGTTAAACTGTATTAGCCCAGTATAATCTCCTGAAGATTCCCTTTTCTAACTGTCTTCCAGTTAGATTTTAAACCGTTGACCACAAGATTAAGTGTGGCTGCCTAGGCAGATTTTCAGATGCCTTGAAGTTGATATTTATCCAATTTGGTACAAGGATGGTATGGGAGGGGGCATCGGCAGCCCTATTAGAGTCAAAGTAAATGATATCCATTGGTGTCCTTCACCCCCAAAACTAGCTGCTTCCTCAAGAAAAGTTATCATTAGGTGCAGTTTGCACTTTGTAAATCCATGCTGGCAATTCCCAGTCACCTTCTTTTTGTTTGTGTCCCTGGAACTTCAGGAGTATTTGCTGTATAGTTAGTCTGAGGATCAAAGTGAGACTGACTGTCTCATAAGGCCTTAGATTCCCCTTGCCTTTTTTTGTAGATGAGTAAGTACAGCCTTTATCAGTGGCTTCCCATGGTCACAGTGACCTCTAAAGAGAGTTTTCTTTGGTTGTATTGGAATTGGACAACGGGTGATCTGTTTGCATTAGAAACACCTGTAGACTGACTGTGTGAAGATTATACTCACTTCTGCAAAACCATATTGAGAAAGACGAAACGTAGGAAGGAGAATTCAAGCACAAGTCACAGACAAAGCGGGAGTGTTCTGTTGAAACAGATTAGATCACGGCTCTAAGAGTTCCATAATTTTTTAAGAGAAAAAAAAAAACTAAGTGAAGGTAAAGTAAACTATGGTTGTTGAGCCAGCAAAAACTGCATTTTTTTTTCCCTGTATGCTGACAGACATACTAATTGTTTTTGTAAGCTTTGTATTTTAACATAACATGCTTTTTTTTTTTTTTTTTAAATTTGTTAAGAATTGAGAACGGTATCAGCATGTCTGGCAAACCTCATGCAATTTGTTCCAGCAAAAAGTAGTGTGACTGTTGGTTTATTCTTGTGAGGGCCAAAAGATGGTTGCGAGGACTAGAACCCTGAAGAGTTTGCAGATGTTAATTTGCAACACTGAAGACCATTAATACAGTGTGAAGAACTTACAAGAAGGTTTTTGGTTAGGTGTTGATTAAAAAGGCAGTTAGAGGAATTGAGCTTCAGATCCCTTTGAAGTTGAACAACTAATCATGTGTTTGCATTAGAAACACCAGCAGACTGTGTAAATATTATGCTCACTTCTGTAAAAAGAAAAGCAAAGACTTTTTAGAGCTGAATGATTTGTTCTTAAAATGTCTTGATTTTCAAACTTCCAGCTCAAGACACTTACATTTTGATATTAAACATTAATTTGTAACAAATGTACTTTTAACTGTTGAAGGTTTTTATATTGGTTAGGTGTTTGAAGTGTAGAGACTAAATGTATTTTCAAAGATTAATAAAGTCTACTCTAATGAATTTTCACACATTTATTTTGCAGGAGCTGGTGAATCGGGGAAAAGCACAATTGTCAAACAAATGAAGTAAGTATGGTGATATTATGATACTATGATAGAGAAATATTTTTTTTTTAATTTGAATAGCAAATTTATTTTTTTCCTTCCATAGGATTATCCATGAAGCTGGTTATTCAGAAGAAGAATGTAAACAGTACAAAGCTGTTGTCTACAGTAACACCATTCAGTCCATTATTGCTATCATTAGAGCAATGGGGAGGTTGAAGATAGACTTTGGTGATCCAACCAGGGCTGTGAGTATTGAAGTACATACACAGATATACAGCTGAAATATCCATTCATTTTCAGTTTTTGTCCATTACTATTTCATGAAAAAAATCTCTTGATATCCAAAAATCTTTGTAGGGTACAAAGTTTGATTGAAAATTAAATGCCATTGGCCTTTACATGGCAAGGAGACCTACAGAGCAATCAGCACTGGGTTGATTCACAACAACTATTTGGTTTAGATACAATTCTCCAAATTCTGTCTAAATTTGGAAAACTAAACATCTGAGTCTTAGGGAGCTTTTGAAAAACATTAAGCTATGCAGTCATATCTCTTTATTTGTATGGACTTGTGGGCTGTTATGTTCTGTGAGTCATTTAAGTTAGACATCTCAGTGTTCCTTAAAAAACACAGCTTAAACAGGTAGGCATCTAGCTACTGTCTGCACTTCTCTATTAGGTCATAGGCACAGCGGTGCCCAAAACATTTCAAGCCTCTGAGCTTGATCCTGTTTCATACTGATTTCTGGTGTGGAAGACTTTATTTTACTCAAAGCAGAGACATGGGCATAGCGCTGCTGCCGGCATCCCATTTTTTGATGATACCATATCGGTTAAGGATTTTTCCCAAGAAATAGAAGACCTTTGTTTAAGCTTTTCTGCACCTTTTCCGTCTCATTTCATCTAATGGCCCACATACAAACCTCTGATGGCATGTTAAGGTTGAATTACGGTTTGGGAGGAGAGGAGGGTCTTGAAAAATAAGGAACGGTATGTAAATTCTTATTTCATGACAAAGTCTTGTGTTCAGGATCTTACTGATTGCTTAAAAAGCAATTTATAAGTATTAGAGAGTATATCTTCAGTGACATTGTGAAATGCATTATGTACGGTTGTCATAAGGAAGACAAACGTTCATAACGTTATGTAAAGTGGGTCATAAAGTTGTATCTGAAGTCTAAATCTGATTGGCAGTTGTGAATTATTAGTTAATATTCATTTTGCTCTTTGATAGTCATTATTTTGTGTACATGTGTTAATTCTACCTGAAACGTCTTCAGTTGTAAACATAACTAGTAAAAGCTTAATTTTCATTGGTTATTCCTCTCTACATTTGTTCTCATGTTTGCTGTTGTCTTCCCCTAAGACCAAAGTTTTCCAGGGCAGCAACAATATCTTATTGCATGTTAGTTTAGTATTTGTGCAATGGAGCCCTCTCTGGAGTCTGGCAGTTAATGTTGGAAAGAGGCAGATGGTAGACTAATGTTACTAAATACATAGTAAGAGAAAACGGAGGAGTAAATTTGGGTGTTAGCAGATAAAATGACTAACAAGAAGATTTTGAGGGCTATTTTATATACAATATCAATTTTAAGTCATCTGAATTTCTCAACTTCAGAGAGCTATATAAATGATGAGGCAAACTTTTGTCAGGGATAATCTTAAAATAGCTGTCCATCCTTTTGCACTTAGGCAGGTCTTGGTGGTCCAAATTCTTTTTTTCAGAGCAACACTGCTATGGAACGTCAGTACTACATTTTTGCCAATTGCGAAGTCAGAAGTGGAAAAAGGAATTCAGAGCTTGTGTAATATATCAGTCTACTTTAGAAAAAAAGTATGGTTACTCCTAAACGATTCTACGATTCTATGATTCCTCGATTATTAAAGTAGAAACTATGTTTTGAGAGACAGTTTGCGAATGTGCTTTAAAGGACTATGGGCCACTTTCTGAATGTGAGATTTGCTGTAATTAGCTAGAGAGATGGTTAAATTAGTTTCTTTACATTATCTCATTTATGAAATCTGGTACAAAAACAGTGACACCTAGAGAGGAAGCTGCCCTATTCCAGTATTATTAAAGGAAAGTATCTATCATTGTTTAATTAATGAAAATAGGATTTACCATTGCATACTGCCTCACTTGTGGTGTCTGCAGTACTTGCCATCCTTAGAAAAGGGAGAACAGGGGTAACAGAGACCTCTTTTTATTTTAATGTTTGGGCTTTTAAAAAGCTGAAATTGATTCTCTTGTTCCACGTCCCCTTTCCCTCCCCCACCCCATTTTCGAGCATGTAGAGATTAGAGCTATTTGAAACGGAGTAAACTTTTTATGTTTGAAAGTCAGACCATGTGAGGTATAAAATGATGTAATCATTCATGACAAAATTGACTGCCAGTTTCTAAGCTGTTTCCATCATGTGTCTTAATATATTGGCTCTTCTTCAAGATCTGCTGCTTCTATGAGTTGTAGATCCTTGGCATTTGCAGCCACAAACAATATTCAAGACCAGAATTGTCATTCAGGTTTCTTTTATGCAAGCGTATTCCTCAAACTACAGTCCATGAGATCTGACTATCCAACCCTTTGATCCTTACTCCTGTTTTTTTATGTAATTATTAGTACAATCCATTAAATTTTTATTAGTTGTCCACAATTTGTCCTGTGCATGCACAGTAATCAGTATTCTGTTAATTTGTTTGCCAAATGTTCATTTTTAGATTTGTAACTACTCCAGCTTTCAGAACACTTTTTGAACTATATATCAGAGACCTGTTGTTCATATGTATAACTACATATATATAAATCTCTTCGTTTGCCTTGAGTTGACTGAACGGCAAGCTTTTTGTTTTCAAACTGTGAATATCAGTATTACTCAATCCATCTGTAAAGAGTTTCCCTGTTAGCTGTCATAATCATTGATTATTTAAGTTTACAGTGGACAATATCATTAGAACAAACACTGCTTTTTGTGCTTATCATGAAAATGTTTTTTTTCCACAGTTTATTGTCTGAACAGCAAAGGTGATAGAACTGAATTTTTCTACAGATTTGCATCTGTACCTTCACTTACTGTTTTGTGAGAATAACATTATAGGTTGCTTTTTTTAATCCTCCTCTTTCTTGAAATACTTTCAGTTCCCAGCCAACGTGCCTAAGTCTGTCTCTTCTCCTTCCTCCTTTCCAGTATCATCTGTTCGCTTTCTTTTAATTACTGGACAAACAGTACATGCTGTGGGTAGTAGTTACAAGCCACAAGTATGCTGATTTTTCTGGCTGACATACCTTGGCATTAGATCACATACAGCTAATAACCAAGGTCAAGCAGCTACCAACAGGAGAGTACTAATATGGATCTCTTTCCTTTACCCAGCTGCTATCTTCTTTTTCCAATGCCTTACAGGTCTAACATTTTTAAGTTTCTTTCCTCAGTCAGAATTGGATGAAGGTAGCAAACTGGTCAAATTCTGTTAGAGACTGGTGGATTGACATCCTGTACTCCATTAGCCTCACTCTCAAAGGCAGTCATTATATATAGTCTTAAAATCCAGCATTTGCTCTCTTAAAAATCTTGGTGTTTGCTTGTTATCGCATTACCAAGAAAACTTGGTCTCTGTAGAATAATTAAGGTAATGGATATTTGTAACTGATTTATCTGGAAAGCTTTTAAGAAGTATTTTTCTATTTCCTGATGCATGATTTGGAAAGAAATGATCATTTGTCACTTTCAAAGTTGTTTTTTGAAGCTTAAGTGATTAATGTGTTTTCTTCAGTCAATCAATATGCATCTGCATTTTTGAAGGTTCTAGTATGCATTGTAACCATTCTATTCAGTTTGTGGTATTTGATAAGCAAATAAGGTTAACTTCAGACTTGAACTCACGTAACTTACGTTACTACTTCTGTTTATAGAAACTTAGTTCAAGTTATGAACAAATCAGAAGAAGCTTTATCAGCTAATGAGAAATTTGGTTTACTGGTCTTTTTCTGTTGTTGAAAAATGCAGGAATTGATATCCTATGCAGAACATGAAAACCAGTTGTTTTCCTTCACATTTTTTTGTTTGGTTACATTCATGTTTACCAGGTTAAGTAACTCTTTTACCGAATGTAGTTCTTAGGTGGTAATACTTCTGTTGTATTTATCAGTGTTTGTCTCTCCACTCCATTTACATACTAAAGGATGATGCTCGTCAACTCTTTGTGTTAGCTGGAGCAGCAGAAGAAGGATTTATGACTGCAGAGCTTGCTGGAGTTATCAAGAGACTGTGGAAAGACAGTGGAGTTCAAGCTTGTTTCAACAGATCTAGAGAATACCAGCTTAATGACTCTGCTGCCTAGTAAGTACTATGTGACAAACAAGATTCTTTTTGTCTTGTAAGTAGTAGCTAAAGGAATATAAGGGAAGTCTCATCTTTTGAGGAATTCTGCTCCCATGTAGATGGAAAATTTAGAAGTATCTGGACAAAGATATTGTCTACTTGGGCCAAAATGCTCCAACTAGGCTTCAAGGTTGGAAAGGAAGAGGTGCAGTATAATTATGAATTTGAGTCATGTTTTCACAAGTTGTTTCTTCCTCTTGAGGAAGACAAAAATTGCTTTAAGGTGCTTTAATAGTATTCTTATTACAAAAACATAACTCAGGTACCTGTTCGGTATCTGAACATGTCCAGGAAACTTGGTTGTGTGATGTGAATCTGTGTTACCAAGGATACTACTTTCATGTTCATAATAGAGTTTCTCCTACGGTTCAACATTGTTGCATTTTCTTTGTTAATTAACGGTCTCTGTTAGAAATGTGTTGAACAAAGGTAACAATCAGGATGTGTCTTTGATGCTGGGGTACTTTATTAAAAAAATAGAACAGTAATGAATCAATGGTGTGAGAAATAAGATGTGATGGCAACAAGTAATGGTAAGTCAGTCAAGGAAAAGAGTCCATTGAGGGAGAGGTGAGATGGTAAAGAATGGCATAGCAGTGATACTGACCTTAAAGGGAAATTTTTTAAAGTTTTATCATTCTGAATTAATTTGTAGTGTTTGAAGTTGTTTTTCACTTTCCTTAAAACAATGTACTTCTGTTCTTTAGAATAAATAAACAACATGCAGGTGAGGCAACTGAGAAAATTACAGCTGAAGTAACGTAATTACAGGCATGCTGAATGAATAGAAGTGTGATCAAATTGTATTGAATTAACACTGATACTTCCAGTGTGATTGTTACTTGTTTACTGAAGTTGTTCTAAGGGTACAGCGAGTAGATGGCAACAAGCTGAGCTCACGATGATAGATCTCTTGATTTAAGAGATAGCAATTGTATAAACTTTCTTCAGTATGGAGCACTTCATTTGGAGGATCACTTACTTTCCTCTGGTAACCTCCTCTGTTCTACTTTATTGTTTTAGATACCTCTGCCTCCAATTTCATAAGAAAACTGTTCTTCTAGCCATACAATTGTATCCTTAAAATTGCTAACTTCTGGTTACGCTGAAAGAACAACAGAATGCCTTCCCTATTTACTATGGGAAAAGCACAAATAAAATTTGTATGGTTTTTAGAAACACTGGGCTGCTTGGCCTGCATCACAAGAATTTTGGCAATGAAAGTATGCTATTGTAAAAAATGTGTGCAATTAGAAATTCTCAATAGAAAGTTAATTGTTATGTATTAAGCGTTTTCTTAAACACATTAATTCTGGCCAAAACACTGAGTTGTTCTTCTCATACCTGTTATCAAATCCAGGGTAATTTTGGGCTTTGGTTATAGTTCAAAGTAACTTGTAGTTCAGTAGGTTACAAAGATGAAGGTGGTGTTCTAGTTAGTGCAAATAACATTCGTTTATGTGGAACCATGTTTGCATTTTGGGATTTCAAAAGAAGAATTCTTTGTAGTGGAGTCAATTGCATAAGTTTTCTTTCTTCTAAGATGAAATATCTTTGTGTCTCTGAAGCTCATTTCAAAAAACCCTGGAAAAGTGAGGGGAGTAATATGTCTTTTTTTGTCTTATCTCAGAGAAAGCTATTTTATAAAAAAGTCAAGGACAATATAATGAATGGAACTAGAACTTCTGTAATTCTTTGTAATTATCTTGTTACTATTTTATGAATAACTGAAAGCAGTATTTATTTTTACCTTCAGTTACTTGAATGACTTGGACAGGATAGCACAAACCAGCTACATTCCAACTCAACAGGATGTTCTCAGGACTAGAGTGAAAACTACAGGAATAGTGGAAACTCACTTTACTTTCAAAGATCTTCATTTTAAGTATGTAAACCATGTTCATTTGTCTGTTACAGTTTCAGTACAGTTCTAGAAGATGGACTTTCAATGATGTAATTTAACAAATTTGTCTAACTACAACTTTGATTCCCCCCCCAATTTTTTTTTTCTGAAAAAAATTCCTTGTGCTTTGCTGAATTTTCTGAAGTTGTTGGAACTCCTGTAATAACTCAGAAAAAATATGCAAATATTAAGTAATAAATGCCTTGGTTTTATTGGAAGCTTTTTGTAAAGCTATTTTATATGTAAACTGAATCTCAAAATGTTCCATTTTCTGCCATGTTAAATAGCTGTTCTTCTATCAGGTTCTTCCCTTTAAATTCAGTTGGAGAGATGGAGGCTTTTAAATGTTTGCTGGTGTTGTATAGAAGAGTAAATCCATTTTCCTGAAGAACTGAATTCAAATATGTGTTGTACTTTAAGGTAGTAGTTTATTTAGTGATGAAAGAATGTGACTTATGTTTCCTGTGGTGTGGGATTTACAAAATAATGTTAATATTCTGAATATTTTATGTCCAAAGACATTCATGATGAAAACATAGGATAGTATAAATGTAGTAATATTCTACCTCCTGAAACACTGATCAGGAAGAATGAGAAGAAAACAGTAAAACTCACATTGCATCTGCATTTAGATTGTGTAGAGATTGTTATCAGTGTGTCTATACAATATATTTGTTTAGTATCTTCATGGAAAATTTTTTTTACATTTTTAGGGTTTAAGTGTACAAAATTTGTATTCCTCTATAAAACAATAGCTGGTGAATGGGAATGAATCTCTTGCAAATCAAAACAGAGCAGTCCTTAGCCAAGCCTCAAGAGAGGTCTTCAGTATTCGGAGTAGCTATCCATTTTCTCACTCACTTTCTAATGTTTCTTGTTCAGTTCCCTATTGTAGATGGGTTTAAATTCTTCCACACTCTCAGTGAATTTTTATGCAGGTAGCTATTTCCAGTCTGTACTGATTATTAGGACTGTTATAAGGACCATATGATTACACTCCTATAAAGTCCAGTATAAGGACCATATGATTACACTTCTATAAAATGTGTAACTTTAAAGACAGGCCTTTGGAAGTATTTAGCTGTAATGTTGTATGTTTAAACACTTGTACAGCAGGCATTTGTATTTTAGGTGCCTTAAGAGATAGGCTTAATGAGTTATTGGAAGGGCTTGAAGAAGTATACTCTTACGTAACATTGAAAAGAACTTGTGAAATGAACTAAAGGCATAAAAGGCTTGATTATACCAAGGTGAGGGTACATAAATATGACTAGCTGTGCAGTATCATGTACTTAGATTTTTTTTGTCCATTATCTTTTCTGTCCTGTTTTGATGTGCGTGTTTAGATTCTTTGAGGTTGAGCCTCATTTCAGCCTTCTCTAAAGTGCTTACCGTAGCTTTCATTATTGATTCAATCTAAAATGCAAATAGCAAGTCATCTTCATCCTGTTTCTATAGACTATTTCAGAAGCTGAGTCTGGTTATTTACTACTTTTGTCTTCAAAGAGCACCTTATTTTGTATAAATGTTCTTCTGATAATTTAACAAATTCTTATGGAAATTCAGGTTTTAGTACAAAATTATAAAATGTTAGCATTGGAATTGACAGAGGTAATGAATAAAATTTAAGGTATTAATTATTAAGGTATACAAGTATGAAATATCTTCCTATGGGTACAACCATTACTAATTATTTGAGAACTAAGTAGGAGCAGGTGGCTGACTTGCATTTATATAGGGTGATATCCAGAGACTTCCCCTCAAGAGATAATCTCTGAAGGTAAGGAACACTTCTGAGGAATCCTTTTTCCATTTTTAAATTCTAACAGGAGTAATCTTTGAAACATTTTTAAGATGGCGTTATTCCTTTGTAGACCGTTAAATGGGCAATGAGCATTTTCACTTGCACGATAGTATACCCAAGTAGAAGACCTCGTTAGAGGTTATGATGTTTCTGACAGGTTTTTAATCAGAAAGCCAAGGGTCTTTGTTTTTCTTCTGATTTGTTTCCTTCTCGACTTATTTTACTGTGTTTTTTTTAAATAAACATCTAGCAACTCAGAAGACTTGAAGATTTCTAAAAATAACTGCTGTAATTGAATTCCTTCTCGTGCAGTTTACCCAGTCATGTAGTACACTAGCATTAAATTGGTAGGTTTTTTTATCTACCTGCCCCCCTGCAATCTTACAGCCCAGGAAAAACAGGAAAGGGGGATAATAAAAAATTGATCAGTTTTAATAAGTGTGTAATATGTGTATCATATTTTGTAAACACTCACCCTGCCTGAAAAAAATATTTGTCAAATTCAGAGTCTTTCGCAAGGCTGGGGACTGGAATGAACAACTTGTATAACCTTAAAAAAGAAGTGAAAGCAATCATCATAAATATCTCATGTCCTTTTGCCCATATCACATTTTGTATGGCTACTGGAATCATGTTCTTTGCTTAAATAGTCTGCAAGAAGCAGAACAGAGCAAATCTCGCAACACTAGCTTTCAATAACAGATTGTGCTAATGAAAAGACCTTGCATAAGTCCTTAAATTTGCACAATTGCAGATAAACCATTCAGAAAGCTACCAATTTAATACAGCTAAGTAACACAGCTTAGCAGAGTGAGGACTGAAGAAGTGTCTTTAATGCTTTCCATTTAGTACAGTGAAGTAATTAGTCTTAATGTGGCATCGTCATGTTGTAATCTCATTGGAGAAGTCTGCTTTCTTTAAATAATGGAAAGTCATTAAAGCATTTCTCTAATACCTTCATTCTTTAGATAAGGGGGGTAGATTCAGCTCTTACAAGCTTCAATTCTTTCAGCACTGTCTTGTATTTCTTTTTAGTTCATTGTAGACTCTGATTTATCTTGCATAAGCAAAATAATGGTTCTTTTGAGTAGTTAAACTATGGACGGTACTACGAATTTTAGCAGCTGAGGCAAGTGCTGAAAAGATGGGCTCGTACACAACCCTGTGTGCACACCCTCCCATAATGGAAGGTGGAATGTAGAAATCATTCTTTCAAAACTTTTTAAAATTTATCTGTAGATTAAGTAGCTTCTATGAGTGTTTCAGTTGTTTGGGACTGTGACCTAACAGGCCTCAGTATGACTTCTAACAGGGCAGATAGAAAGCTTATGAACTTTAAGACCTCTTTGTTCAGAATGGCTAATTTTTCTGAAAGATACTTGCAGCCTTATCTTTTTTTAAGAATTTTGTGTGGCAAATAGTTTGGGGGGTTTTTTTCCCCTGTATGCTTGTATTTCTCTGTACTGATATCATATGGAGAAGAAGCTTTATTACATAAAGCAATCCATCAGGTTCTTATTTCTTGCTGTTGTGTTCACTGTGAAACCGTGGTGCCAAAACTTCACCCAGCACTAGATTTTAGTATATAAAAATTTCAAAGATGAGTGCAAAAAGATGGTTTGCATAAAGAACTGGGAGTTTGTTAGGTGCAGTGTTAGAAAGACAACCCCAAAAAGATACAAGCATCACTGGTGGAATACACCACTGGCAGAGAGGCTAGTCTGAACTGAAGCAAACATTTCTGGCTGAAATCAATATGTGTGAATACAAACTGAAAATTACACTTCTTTTACGTTCTGGAAGTTGTCTGTCTTCTGCAGTTTCCCTCCCTTCCCAGAATACATGTTGGCAACACAGTCTGAACAAGCCAAAAACATATAGTGCCTCTTATGCAGATCTATTTTCTTTACATGTTCTTGCTGTTCTTTGAAAGAATACTTTTTACTACAGTTTTTAATTAATATGGGAAGTTGTGCCATGTTTTCTTGTATCTCTCTGTTACTGACTTAGTAATATTTTTGCATTGAGCAATGCCATATTATTGAACTAGGTGCGATCCATGCCGACTGATGTTACAGTACTGCCATCAGTATAAAGCATTTAATTTCTCATGTTCCTTAGAAGCTGGTGTCCACAAAAATTAAAAGGAGCAATTTTCTTGTTCAGTTTCTCAGTTAATTGTTCTGTCTTGTATTCTGTTCTGCCCTATAAAGAATGACATTTGTTGTTGTTCAACCCTACCTGACCTACTGTCTACCAGAAGCCCTCAATGTGATAGCCTTATTGCTAATATAATTTTGAATTATTTTAGGCCATGCTGGAATATCTTTACAAGAATTATAACCATGCACCTTAACAATTGTTGTTCTGGTCTGGATTTCTCTTCCTGTTTGTATGATTTTTTTTACCCATATAAGGCTTTCATGATAGTCGGCCATTCTACTACTTACAGCAAAGAGGATGGAGATGTAGGAGCTGGTCTGTCCTCTGTTCTTTCTCTTCTCTCTTCCTCCTCCCATTTGAACATTTTTATACCTACTGAATTCTAAGCTCTTTTTTTTTTGTCACAACGTAGAAAAAATGTTAAAATTACTTATGAAAACCTCTGAAGACAAAAGTCAGGCCTCTTCTAAAGGAATAATTGCATTTACTTGTAAGTAGGAGGAAAAATTGAATTCTTGCATGATAGAATATTGACTAACATAGCGAGGGAAGTAGTATGTGATGTATTTGCACTGTTTTGAAGCTGCACATTATTGCAAGAATCTGAGACCACAAGCTTCTTTTTCTGTGATAGGAAAGCGGTGGAAAAAGTCTGTGTTCTCTCTCTTTGAGAAGATCCTATGATATATCACTTAATTTCAGGATGCCACTGTTTGTCTGCCTTTTTGGGGTTTGGTTTTTTTGGGTTTTGGTTGGGGTCTTTTTTTGGTGTTGGGTCTGCTACTCCCTCGCTCCCCCACCCCTTGATCCACAGTTCATTATATCAGTATGCTATTTATCTGGCTTGCAAAATACTTGAAGTTCCTAATGATGTGTAATGAAAGTTCTGCATTTCAGAGTGGCTGTAGCCCATAACAGGTAGTAAATGGCCATTTAAAGCATTTATTTAGCAGAGAAAAGCAAATCCATTCATATCACGCTAATTTGCTGATCCTTTGCTGTTAAGTTCTGGAATGTGGTCTTTTCCTATTGCTCTATTTCTGCTAAGCTAAGAATTCAAAAAAAATAAGACTCACCTTTATAGCTCAGTTTTCCCACTTCATTTCCAAAAAATGCATTTATTAGAGGGAAAATGATTGTTCTTATGTAATTCTTATTTTGTCTTTTAAGAGAATTTTGAAAATAATTTTAGTGTCTCTTAAAAATATATCCCATTTAAACATGGACAATTATAAAATAGATCAAGTTGCAGTTTGGTTTAGGAGAGAGAGGAGCTGAAACTCACCAGGATTTAGAGATTCCAGATTACATTTGAAAAAGTGAAAATTAGATTTTATATTTGTATTCAGAATACTGAAATAACAATAATAAAGTCAGTGTTACTTGTATTCAACTTCCTTAGTATTGCATTATTTCCAAGAATTAAACCAGACACAACTCTGCCCTTAAAGAATTGTACATTGTTGATCAATACTTTTTATTATTTTAGACTTTTTATTCATTTGGACTAAAGGTTGAATAACACTTTCATCTACTTTACATTTAGTAAAGCAAACTGTGCATTTTTATTTTTTATAGATTACAATTAATTTTGTTAATGAAATACAGTATTGTAAATAATCAGTTTTGTTTAGCTTTCATCTCACTCATGTTTTGTAAAATGTTGTATAGGAAGGCTTTTCAGGCTTTATTAAAATTGTTTTTTTTATAGTGAGACTTTAAATAATAATAAATGTTGCAGATTTTTATGCCTTTTTTAAAAATTTTGTGGTTAGACTTACACAGCTGATACTTTCAGATTTTATTGGTTAACATTCAGAAAGCTAGAAATTCCAAAGTTCATTCTGTGCTTTGCACTTCTGTTTTGCAGAATGTTTGATGTTGGAGGCCAAAGATCAGAGCGGAAGAAATGGATTCATTGTTTTGAGGGTGTTACAGCAATTATTTTTTGTGTGGCATTAAGTGATTATGACTTGGTCTTGGCTGAAGATGAGGAAATGGCAAGTACCTTAATGTTGAAGAAGGGAATAGTTGTTGGATAGAAACTAAATAAGTTTGAAAGGAAAGCTATAAATACACTTGTTAGAATATTACTGCTTTATAAGATGTATGGGTTTTGTGTAAAAGGTCTCAGAAATGGTGATAGAATTCATGCTTTCAGGTTTCAAAGAATTTCCTCATTCTCAGAAGGAATACTAGGAGACAAGTATTCTTTTAAGCTACACCCTTTCATGTTTTAAAGGACACATAAATTACTTAGGATAGATTGTCAGTAATACACATTTTAGTCTCTTTATGGATGCTAGAAGTATATAACAAGAAATTGCTTGACTGACAGTAGAAATCTGTTTCTACTTTACCACGTTTTCCTTTCTTTCCTCAGTCTTCAGTTTTTGTTTCTTTCTAAATGTGTTTCTCTGATGTCTTTCCTTAGTTGCAGAAATTTTGCTCTTCCTTCTCCCTTCCAATCCCCTCCACTCCTTTCTCCTCTTTCTAGGTGTGACTCCTCCCATATCAGTATGCACAGAGTGCATGCTTTTTACTGAGTGGTCTAAAGTGATGCTTATCTATTGTGTGTGAATCATTAACAAACTTCTGTGTTCTTCCTCATGTTCTGCAAAATCTTATAAGTTTGGGGAGGAAAGAGAAATAAAAAAGCCTTTCAAGTCAAATGTAGTCAAGTCATAGCTAGCATCCTGCTACTTAAATGGCTGGAGCTTGGCCAGAGTACTTGCATGCTGGATAATTTTTCTACAGAGTTAAAAATTAGGCTAAGAGGAAAAAAAAATGTTCACTTGATTCTCTAGTTATATAGAACTATTTCTTTTTTTTTTTTTTTTTAATGCTGGAATCTTAGCTAGATGCAGAATTTAATTTTCAATTTCCAGAAGATCTAATCAGTATAAGACAAATTCAGGTAACTCAGCAACTCTTGTAGGATATCTGTACTGCAAAATGTCAAAACACACCAAAAATTTCTAAAATACTAAACAGCTTACGCCTGGAAATGGGGGCGGGGGGGGCGTGGGGGGGAAGAAAAAGTAGTTACTTAAACCCTACTTATGAAACTGTTCTTTGCAGTGGTCTTGGCGCCTCTGTATTTCTGTGTGGTAAAATGTGATTCTGTATGCTAGAAGCTTAGTTCTGTAACTTACCTGGTTCATTCATAGCTAATCAAAAATATGTATCCTGATTTTACTACTGAAGTCTGATAAAATACAACAAGGTGGTTTGTTTTTTTTTTTTCCAAATACAGAATCGGATGCATGAAAGCATGAAATTGTTTGACAGTATCTGCAACAATAAATGGTTCACAGACACTTCTATTATTCTCTTCCTGAACAAGAAAGATCTTTTTGAAGAAAAAATCAAAAGGAGTCCTCTCACTATTTGCTACCCTGAATATGCAG